GAGTTAACAGTAGTCGGACGTCGTCAAAAAGCTTAGGAAGATGGCGACATGGTTTTGTTCCAAAACTACAAAGGCAAGTTCTATTCTGTCTCTCTCCCTTTGTCCTGTGTTCTGTGCATCCTTAGATGATCTCTAGGATCTTAATTGGATATTAATGGAATATTACATGCTTAACCAATGATTAATTACTCGTCTATATGTATTTAGCTTAAACTATAATGGTTTCTGAAAGTTGAAATATGTTGCCTATTGTTAAAATGTAATTAAATCGGCAATGGTTTTTATGGTACTTTTTGATGCAAATTGGTTGGAATGAATAACTAGAATATTACTGGATGCATATTAGACTCCTAAGGTTAATACAAATGAAGAACGGAGGGGTTGGAATCAGCCGAAAATGAAGAAGACGAAGCAGAAACGGAACAAGGCTCGGAGAGGGATAGAGCCGGCTCCATAGAAGAGGGAGACGGCTCCCTCAAAGTGCAGAGCTGGGTCTGGGGAGGCAAGAGACAGCTCCTAGCTTTCAAAAGCCGCCTCTCCCATCTAGGGAGGCGGCTCCATGCTTAAACAAGAGCCTGCTCTTGTGTTTTAAGAGCAGGCTCTCTCATATGGGTGCGTTCTGAAATTTTTTGTGCAATGTTTGGAGAAGTTTCATTTTTTTGAAGGGTTTAGGACTTTACAAGGGTTTCTAAATATGGTTTTCATGAAATTTTAAAGCCTCATATGGCATAAATTATACCTATAGACTAATGGATGGAACAGTAAAAAAGTATACAACGGTGCAGGCTGTTAACGGATGGAAAGAGTCTAATTGCCTAATTTAATTTTAGCGATTTAACGGAATATATATTTGATTATAAATCTTATTTTGGTTGCATACTAGGGTTATTTATTGATCAAATTTGATCTATGCGTACCTTAGATGTTAATTGTTGAAATACTATATTCTTTTCTGCAATACATGGATTTAAGCTTGGATTTTAATTACTGTAATATTAAGCACTATTCTGCAATTATTTAAATTATGGTTTGGACTTAAAGTGCTAAACGAACACTTAGGTTCTGTCAACCATGTGGATTTTAACCTGGATTTAATTGAAGAATTAATTATATATTTTCTGTCAACTATATGGATGTTAACCTGGATCAAGCATTGTTTCGTCAATTCCATGGATTTTATTGCGGATTGTTAGTTGTTAAATTGTTTAAATTTTGTATTTATCAACTATATGGATTATGTGGACTTAATTTGTTGTACTACTTAAAATGTTGCATCATTCACGGATCATTTGCATGGTATGCACCGGCATGGGACGGTGGCATATAGAGGGACGAATTAGATCAAAACGCTAATTCTTACCCATTCATATATACAGAATGGATTAACTAAAATAGTTAAATCCTACATGGTTTCATGTCCTGTCAACTAAAATAGTTGAACGACATACTAGATGGTTGTTATATTTCTGTATTAGGAAGGATCGGGATTTAATTAAAACACTTAAATCCTAATTATATGTTGTGTTTTGGCTACGAATAGTTGACCGGCTCAACATTGTATTTGGTTGGAATTTATATGCATATAATTTATGTTAGTCTGTGCGGTTGAATAAGCTGAACGACTAACTGGATTTCTTATGGTTGGATAGGATCGCGCTTTAAATATATATGTATGGTACCGCGATATGAGCTTGAGTCTGGATCATCAGTTAGGAAACGTATAAGCAGTAGGATGCGTAGCTGGCCATGGTGATTGTGGTATACCCTGTTAGGCTTAAGTAGTCATGCCCACTCAGGTGCGTTTTGTATGTTGCCTTCTATTCAGGTTGAGACCCTCATTATAGTCAAGTGAGAGTCTTGTAGTGTGTGTGTGTGTGTGTGTGTGTGTGTCTATATATATATATATATATATATATATATATATATTTACGGACTATATAGTTATGGTTGAGACATCTAGGATGTATCTGCATATCGGGTCTCTGTTTGGATTTTAGTTAGGATAGAACTTGAATAGTGGGCCTGACCCACTATTATTTTTCAGGTAATGGACGGTTCCAGGTCTTAGAGCTTGTTCGTGCTGAGTAGAAAAGGCTACTCATTCTTCCGACGACGTAGGAGTTTCTTCAGGATTTAGCATTTGAGTTCTTCAGTTATTATTTTTCAGTGTTGGGGTTTATTAGGGGTCCACCAGATGGATTCCCGAGTTGTATTGGAAATGGAGAAATTTAATGTATCAGAATAGTTTCTTATCTATAAAATTTATTCTGAGGTTTCAGTTTTTAGATTATCATTCTAGTCTCTTTTTAGCAATTTTATTTATTCCTGTTTATCTTAATTGTATTTTGTGTTCATTTATTGCTAATTAGTTTGATATCCTCGGGTAATCGGGCGTGGACTTGGCCAACCCGCATCTAGAGATCCGGGGGTATCACAGGTATTTTGGGGATTTCACGTCAAAAATAAAATTTTATTTTGACATGGTCTACTTGGAAAAATTATTTTGATGGGGGTTTCTTCTTCGTATTTTTCCAGAAAACGTCATTTAGTGCCTCAAAACAACACACGAATTTCAGCATTTTGCCTAGGTTATTATTCAAGGCCGCGGCGACGTCAAAACTTTGTTTTGACTTTTCTCTTCCATCCGAACTCCGAATCAAGTGATTCTTGAGTCTAACTTGATTAATTTTTTGCTGTCTTCCCAATTTTATATTTTTAGAAATGACCATTTTGCCCTTGGGGCTATTTTTGTCCAGTTTTCTTGTAATTATTTTCCGCTACTTTGTTTTGAGTTCTGTGACTTCACGGGAAATCATGGATGTGTCTCAGGGATAATATACATTCTAGGGTCGTCATTTCTATGTAAAATGACTATTTTGCCCCTAGGGGCTTATTTGTCATATTTCTGATCTTTTACTTCCATGTCTGTTCTCATTGAGTTCCACGACCTCATGGAAGATCATTAAAGTGTCTTGGAGGTGTGTTATGCCTTGAGAGACCGTTGTCTTGTTTCTTGAATCTACATTCTGGATTCGTTATCGGATCTACATTCGGTTCATCACAAGACGCGCTGGCCTAAAAACCAGGGCTGTTACAGAGATGCACTCCAGTGGTGGGAGTCAGTTACCACCGTAGAGGAGAGAACTTCATTAACCAATGATCAGTTCAGTGATCGTTTCGATGAGAAGTACTTTCCATGTACAGTCAAGTCAACTATGAAAATAGAGTTCTTTAATCTAGATCAGGGGAATATGACAGTGGTAGAGTATGAGCAGCAGTTTACGCGTTTATCTCTATTTGCTCTAGAGGAGGTGGATACAGAGGAGAAAAAATGTAATAATTTCGTTAAGGGACTGATGTGGTCTATTAAGCGAGCTGTTACAAGTAGTCCAGCCTACACTACTTATGCTCAAGTGGTAGACGCTACTTGGCAGTAGTATCAGTTAATTGTGGACTTCAGACAGGCTAAGGGTGAGAAACGGGATGATAGAGACTCTGCTAATTGGTCAGCTGAGAAAGGGAATGACAATGGTCACCGGCATAATGACAAGGGCAAATTCCAAGGACAACAGTCTTAAAAGAAGCACAAGGGTGGTTTAGATGCACACAGGAACAGGGCACCTATTCAGAGACAGCAGGATGGGGGAACATAGGAAGGACACGGTCAACCGCAGGTTAACTGACAGAGGAGGCCATTTGGCACTTTCCAGGGTAGTTGCTATACTTGTAAAGAGTTTAGTCATACTTTTAGGCAGTATCTTAAAGCAGGACAGGGATAGGAATAACATGTACAGCAGGGACAGAGGGTACTAGTACCTTTACCCACTCCACATATTCCACGGATTCAGGGACAGACAAATCTGACTTTACTAGCACTGCCACTACCTCAGGGATAGGCACCGCAATAGTTGCATTATGGCAGGGTATTCAACCCCATACCACAAGATGTTTAGGTACCCTAGGCTGTTGAGGGTATGTTTCCTATACATAGTACAAATGGTCATGTTTTATTTGATACTGGTGCTACACATTCATTCGTGTCTAAATCATTTGTTCCATTATCTGGGATGACGATGAGGGTATGCGATAGACTTCATGGTATTCTACACCTTTAGGCAATACTGCCATTTTACATGACAGTGATGGGCTGGCACTACAAGAAAAGTGGGCTTTTATGACATAGTATCTACGGGGCTTCTTTATTTTACCTCGTGATTACCACAATTTACGGAGTTTTTAAAAGAATCCTCGTAATTGTTACGTTATAGGACATACTTTCATGAGGATTTTATAGAATCGTCGTAGAAAAATATTTTTACGGCGTATTAAAAAGCCAGTGAATATTTAGATATATTTACGGCATATTTGTACACCTTTAACGGGATAAATGTTCCTCGTGGATAAATTTCACATCTAAGACGCCTTTTTTGCCCCGTAAATAAGCAATAAAAGTTTCCCACCAAATAACTTTCACTCCTCGCCTAATTGTCAATGAACTTAAGTTCTTTTACGGTGTATTAAAGAGCTCGTGGATAAATTTCACATCTAAGGCGCCTTTTTTGCCTCGTGGATAAATTTCACATCTACGGCGCTTTTTTTGCCCCATAAATAAGCAATACAATAAGTTCTTTTAAGGCGCTTTTTTTGCCCCGTGGATAAATTTCACATCTAAGGCGCCTTTTTTGCCCCGTGGATAAATTTCACATCTAAGGCACCTTTTTTGTTCCGTGGATAAATTTCACATCTAAGGCGCCTTTTTTGCCCCGTAAATAAGCCCTAAAAACTGCATTTTTTTTTTGGCACAGTACGCCCCCACACCGTCCCTGAGACCTAAAAAAAATGGATAGCGGGAAAATTTTGCGCCCAAAATTTTTGTTCTGCTTTGTTTGGCTGAACCGTACACGCAAGAACAGAATGCCCATGATTATTTTATTTTGCAAAAAGTATAAAGTGGTATTAAACTACACCGTTTTATGTAAAAAAAAATAATAAACCTAACATTGTAAATCACTCTCTTCATCAATTAATCTAGAAAACCCTTCTCAAGAGTACTCAGCCCTTTTGCTCCTTTTGTCAAGGGTGTGTATGCCTCTTTGATCTACGATTTAGCTGGAAGAGAGAGGGAGATGATGGCTTCGTCGTTGCGGATTAACATTCAAGCTTTACCACTGGTAATAGTGAACATATTCGAGCACTACACGAGGGTCAAGTCCCAGTCCCACCCGCCTCACGCCGCCCCTGACGGCGGTGACGAAACACCGGCGCCTCCATCTTCACTGAGAGGGGACACATGGTCGAGATCTTCAATAGCTTCGAGCTTCTCCACGGTCCTTCCTCCCATTCCGGTGACCAAACCTTCCTCTTGAAGAAGCAAGAACTCTGTCGGTACTTTCTCAAATTCTCTCACCCCCCTTTCTCTCTCTATATATTTAGATGCTTTTTGAAAAAAATTATTGGGTTTGCCTAAAAATTGAAGGAATAACGATCTTTTTATAAATCAGATTAGAAAGTTTTTCCCCAATTTTATATTCTTGAGTGGTATTCTACTGGGATTGATTCTCAAGAATCCGATATACTTCTTATGATTATTCCCTGCATTCATCGGTGGTGAGTTCTTCTTCGACCACATCAACCATTCAACCTTCTTTGGCTTAAGGTTTCTGATTATCATTTCCAACAATTGTGAGTTCTTTCTAATTTTCCATGAAGGCCCTCTTTCTCTCTATACACACATATGTGTATATGCTTATATCAATTTCCAAACTTGACCATGACCTTCCGTTACTTGTATATGTTCTTAGATACTCACTTTTATTTGAATACTAATTTATTAGCTTTTAGGGTTTTTCCCTTTGATCTTATATCTATATGGTTTTTGTTTCTTTTCTATGTCAAACTCCAATTTTAGCTCAAAGTTATGCTTCTATTTATGTGCGGATTGAATATTGTTTTGTTTTGTTTTTAATTTTTGTATTGTATGGTATCTTTCTTATCCCATTTTTCAATATATTTTTGTTGGATGATATATTCATAAATGGTAGCAAAAAAACATATGTTGAATTTTGCATAAAAATTGCATAATAAATATGAGGGGAGCTATAGTGAAGGTGTTTAGGAGTTTATTGGGTTCTTAAAATTGATTGAGAGATTAACTTCTAATAAAAGTAGATTTATCCCAAAAATAGTTACCTTTGGAACAAAATTCTGGAAAGTTACTGGAAATGCTTATTTGGTTTCTAAGAAGTATTCTTGTTTTTAAGTATTTTGGCTTGGCTTTGAAGTTTGAAGTGAATGTTCTTCAATGAAGGATCTTATAAGGTGGTTAAAGCATTGATTTCAAAACCATTTCTCTCCACTAATTCAAGGAACTATAAAACTTTTTTCTTGAGGGTGAGTTTTGAGTGACAATTCAACGAAAACTTTATTCAATAAATGAACTTAAATTTTTGGTATGTATTTCATTTGTGTATGCTATGTATGGATGTTTTATTGAAGTATAATTCTTTAATTCTTGGTAATACAGAATTGAACACTTTAAGTAAAGAGAATTTAAATATTTTTTTCTGCCTATTGTCTGCCACATGCATGATGATTAATTCTAAATTTTGTGATTAACTTTTTCAAGTACTAAGTTTCAATTTTTAGATAACTTTTTTATGTGGGATCCATTTTGCCAAAGATTCTATGCTTTTATTCTAGTCAACAATTTAAGAATTCCTATTGCTTTTTTTTTATTGGCCATCAATATCATTTGTTATTGCACTTTTAATTTCTTCATTGTTTAAAGAAATTGATTCTAATGCTTGAAAATGATTGGGCCAACAAACTCATTAAACTTTTTTAAGTTACATGTTTTGCTTAATGTGATTTTTTTACTTATTTAATATTTTTATTTTTTTGTAATGAAGAATCAACCTACTCGCTATCCATTTAAACTCTCGAAAGGTTTACAAATTTTGAATGCACTTTATCGCCCTCAAACTAATGTGATTTCTCTAAACCACTTTAATAAAATTAATTTTTTGTAGATGATAGTTGTAGAAAGATAATGAAAATAATGGGTTGAATAATCCCTAAAACAAATAATGGATACCAAGAATTCTTCTTCCAAAAGAAAAACCTCCAAGATCCCCTCTGAGGTATCTCTCCCTGTATTCTCTCCTTCTCTCTCATATATGTCGTAATTCTTAATTGAATTTTCAATATCCTCTTTGTTTTTTTTTTTTTTTGGTAATAGTACTGGCAATTCTCAAGCTTCTAGTTGGGACTTGCGAACCCCAAGGTCATATAATTCTCTCTCTACCCATAAATCCCTTCTAACCCCGTCTCCCTCTTCACTTAATGAGCGAGTTGGAGTTTGACAGCTTGTGGTATTGATTCTGATCTTATTTACCCAATCTATGGTTCATATGGGGTACTTTGACCAGACTTGTAAAAGTGTATCAAATTGCTGCATTTTTTTGGGTATTTTGACTGGCTCTGTTTTTTTATCTGTATTTGTGACCTTATCTGGTTGTTTTACATTCTAGGTAAATGCATTGTTATGTTCCTTAGATATTGATAATGATATTCGGGCTAAGGGGCCTCTACCTGGGAGATTCCGTGAGATGGAGGAATACTGGAACGAGTCCCAAGGCATGCTTAAACCGGCTCATCTTACAGATGGATGGGTTGCTGAATATACACAAGCCAGAGTGGAACATGGTGACCCTAATTCTTGGGCCCAGTCGTTTGAACAGCAATGCGGCGTTAATGGTTGGTCTTCTGTATTTAAGCATGTAAGTAATTAGTTGTACAATTTGCATGGCTCGAAGCCCGACACCATCTTACTTAACATAAATTTCTACTTCAATTTTGTTATTTAACTCACTTGGCAATTAATGGTACTTGTTTTGTTTGTACAGGAACAATCTCAGTTGACATCGGTAGATAGAATGAGAGGTGCAAATATTTCAAACTTAGCTGCTATGGAGTAGACTCGTATGCTGGCGCACACATTATCTCAAAATGATGTAAATTAGATAGTCAAGTCAAACCAGCTGCATTACCTGCAGTTGGGGATTGGGCAGCAGAATATCAACAACAATATGATGGAGGTCATACATAGGCTGACCAGTTTGTGCATAATGAGGCAAGTAAGCTTGGTGTACATATTTAGTTCTTTTTGATAAGTTTATTGACTTCTTGTTGTTAATTACAAAGTTCAGTGATACTGCTTTCTCACTTAATGCCAAAGCATACATCTTGGTCCAAAGCCATGTTTTTTTAGTAATAAGGTTGTCAATCCTCATGATTGACGAGTGCATCCATCCCCATTCTATGGGATAATTTTTTGGTGTTAGATTTCAGGGCACGTTTTATGGCAAGAGTTAGGAGCAATTTCATGTTCTTGTTTAGGTCTTTGAGTAGTATGCAATTAAGAAAGCTTGAGCTTTGGTTTCCTTTTTATTTTCTAGGGTTTTATTTCCCCTTTCATTGGCTGGTTCTAAGGTTTAATGTATTGAATCTACACTCTTGATTTTGCCTTTTTTATTGAGACTTTTCTAACCTAATTTATGCACCATGTTAATGTATGTTGCCCTGATGCGGAGATGATGGAGGACGACTTGTCTGTACAGAGAGATTAAGAACCAAAGATATAACACATAGAGTAGAACCGAAGTATTATTGGCAGGTGCATTTTGTTTGTTGCAACATTTTTTAAACTGAACCTTTGTCTGTTCCATCTTTGTACTCTAAAATCTTAGGGCAAATCATGAAATTGAATATAACATTAATCAATTTTATGATTGCACATTTCTAATGCTTTTTACTCATGCTCAAGGGGGTCACGTACCTTTAAGTGACCAATTTTGAGGTGTATAGGGAGTCACGTGCCTTAACTGACCAATTTTTTAAATTATTGTACATAAATGGAGGTCGGGAAATTGTTGTGGATGGAGTATGGTTTTCATTGATCGCATTTTAATTTGTTGAATCATCAAATAAAACAACATATAGAATGAGATAAAATTAAATTTAATCATGCTATAAAGCCAAAATCTCTCTATATATTCACACACTCCATAAGTCATGATAGAATTTAAACATTACAAGTACTTGTAACTATCTCCATAAGTCGTGACAAAACATTCAAAATTTTGACAAAGTTTTCTTAGTTGAGTATTTTTTTTTTTCCCTTCAAATTTGAATTTGCAGTAATATGTTTAGTTTGAAAGAAACATAGTTACACTAGAAGGGGTTGATGATTTTTTAATCTTTTTTCTATGTTCCAAGAAAAATCACTTATATAAAAAAAATGTTCTAAGAAAAATCAAACACAGATATATTTTTCACTGAGTAGTCATCATGTATCATAAACCAAAATTGTGTAAATCAAACCCAATTTCTAAAACACAAAATTAGTTTTGGTGGGCAAAGTGATCTAATTTTCTACCAATGGGAATGCCTTCCATGTACACCTTCACAAACAAGGCTGCAGCTGCATAGAATTGGGTATTTGCATTCCTCAATGCAACCCTGCTACTCAAAAGTGGCTTGATCGGCGGCCAACCCAACCTTTGCTTCCTATATATACATACATACATACATATATATATATATATATATATATATATATATATATATATATAATTAAAGAAGGTATATGAGAAAGGTGAAATGTATTACTGAGAATAATAATAATGTATATTTGTGATGAATTAATTGAATTTATTAGATTGGTACCTTGAGTGGATAGGTCTTGAAGAAAAGAGAGAAATAATCTTGATATTGATGAAATTGGGAATTAGGAGAGGGTGGGGAGATGTTGAGACCAAGCCTAAGATCAGTGCTTAAATCCTTACTTGTTTTGGGGAGCTGATTTTTATGATCACAAATTAGAGAAGATGAAGAAGAAGAAACAGAAGAGACAGAAGGGAGGTAATTGTTGTTGTTGTTGCTCTCTATGGATGAACAACCACCACCACCACCACCACCACCTTTGCTTGCTTTTCTTGTCACTTATGCTAAAGAAATGCAGTTTGGCTTTCTTATATGAAGTTAGTAAACCAGAATATCATGTTTATCACTTTTGGAAAAGGAAAACTTGTAATTGAATAAGGTATTAAATAGCTTTAAATGTGGCTAGGCTTGGTAAGATGAATAACACATTTTCTTGCAACATAAAAATATATAGGTTTTAAATTTATTTTCCACGATCCAGATCTTTTAAGAAGATAAACATCTTTATTCATTGACTCTTTCCTAATTGGATATTTTGCATAGGTTCATGTGATAAGACCACATAAGATGCAAGGAATTTGTGCTAGCATCATCCTTGCTATTCATTAAAAGGAAAAAAGAGATTCCAAAATACTTTTGTCATGTAGAGAGCCATAGCAACGAATAATGATGTTAATTCCAAAGAAAGAGGGAATTCTCAAAGACCTACTAGTTCATTATTTTAACTCAAGCCTAGAAAGGGACTACAGAGAAGGGGGTCCCTTTAAGGGAATTCTCAAAGACCTACTCGTTCATTATTTAGTGTGTCCAGTTCTCTTTGTGACCCCAACAAGGTTTATGACTTCATCTTGGAACTGAAAAAGAGGTTTGGGGTGAATTAGGAGGATTGCTTCACCTCAAGATGCAAATTAGATAGTGCTGTATGTGTTCTTGTTTATGGAGTCTTTTTGTGTTCTTAAGATGGTGCACTATTTGGTTAAAATAAAGGGTACACTTAAGCTGTGTCCTTGGGATAATTCCTGTTAAAGAATTTGGAAAAGTCACAGATCTTTATGTAGCTCTTGTAATTTTTATTTTTCTTCAGAAAAAAGTGCTAGCTGTTGTAGAAAAAGGGAAATAAATACACCATGGCGTGCTTGCTTGGTTTCAGATGAAGTTTACATTATAACCACGAGTTAAAAAATGGTCTAGTAACTACAATGATTCCTCTTAATAAAAATCAGTTTTAAAAGACAGATTAGGGAAGTGAGATATATATAACAAAATAAAAAGAGGGTTATCAATTCATTTTATTAAGAGGTGAGTAACCTAGTGGATAAATAAAAATGAATTTGAAGTGAGAGCGTGTGCATATATCAATGTATATATATGTACACACACAATATATAGTAATAAGTTTTGGGTTTGATATGATTAATTAAAATGGTTAATTGGCAGGGGAAGGAGGCACTGGTGGATCACTTTGAGAAGTCTACGTTTCGGTGTGATACAAATGAGTTCCTGCCTGTGTGTTTTAGCCCAGCAAGGGATGGTTCTGGTAAGTGAGTGAAACAAAGTTTGGTTGGGAAGCGAATATATATATATATATATATATATATATATATATATATATATATATAGGAGTATATATATATATTAATTAATTAAGGGTTTAGTTTAGGGTACCATATCATTGGAGCATTTAGAGCAAGCCCCGCAAATAGACACTATAATAGTTCCTATGTGGTTTGTTTAATGACTTCTAAGTATTAATTCATCTTTTCTATTCCTACATCATCTTTATTACCAATTTGATGAGCTTTCCATTTTTTTCTGTTAAAAAAAATTTAGGTGGAGGTTTGATATCTGGGGTTACATTGGCTGCCAAGTTTATCAACCCTACTATTTGAGTTTTGGCTGCTGAATCAATGGGAGCACCTACTTGCTTGGATTTTGTACCGTGGAAAATGAGGTGGTGTTTTTGACAAGTGTAGATTGAAACTCAATTGTTAGGAAATTGATTTTTTTTTTTTTTTTTTTTGCAAATGGATTTACTTCCTATTTTGGCACATTGATCAATCATGAATTCTTGAATTGTAAAAATATTTTAAGTCTTTTGATATGTTTAATGTGATATTTCAAGATATTGTTTTGGTTATGGTTATTGATATTAACATATAAAATTGAAACTATGAATGTGTTGATATATTTTTGAATTAAATGATAGTTGAAAATTGATGCCAATTGCAGGTTGTATGAATGATTAGGTAGCATTTAAGGGTAATGTTATATATATATATATATATATATTTAATTAATGCCAATTGCAGGTTGTGTGAATGATTAGGTAGCATTTAAGGGTAATATTTTATAATTTTATTTCTTAAAAAAAATTATGTTATCTATGGGGAGCTTGAAACCCCCGTAAATATTATTTACGGGTAGTTAAAATTCGTCGTAAAAAACTTTTCTACGGCATCTGTCAGTGCCTTGTGAGATTATTTACAGGTAGTTAAAATTCGTCGTAGAAAACTTTTCTACGGCATGTGTCGATGCCTCGTGAGATTATTTACGGGTAGTTACAATTCGCCGTAGAAAACTTTTCTACGGCACGCTTTGGTGCCTCGTAAGTTAATTATTAACAGGTAAATATCCATGTTGTAAATAAATTTGAGTATTTGCGGAACCCTCATACACGAGGGCTTACAATGCGCCGTGAATGACTTTTCACGGCGTTTTTGACCCCTCGCAGAAGCCCTTTTTTCTTGTAGTGTGATGACACTAGATATTGGTAGACTCAGATTTCTAGCCAATCTATTGGTCCTGGACATGCACACTTATGATGTAATACTATGGATAGATTAGTTATCTCATTACCATGCCCAAGTTAATTGTTATGATAAGTATATTATTTTCACCATACCTGGTCAGGATATGTACGTCGTCGCTATGCCACTTTCTAATAGGGTTACTAACACGTATTTATTTTATGTGGAGGAGGAAACGAAGGAGGAGATTACTGTGTCATTGGATAGTATACCAATTGTACAAAAATTTTTGGATGTTTTTCAAGGATTCCAGAGTTGCCACCTAGTCGAGAAATAGACTTTGTGATTGACTTAGCACTAGGCACTACACCTATTGCTAAAGCACCATATAGAATGGCACCAATGGAGATAGGAGAGCTGAGGGATCAAATTCAGCAATTACTCAGCCAGGGTTTTATTCGTAGGAGTACTTCACCATAGGGAGCACCAGTTTTGTTTGTGAAGAAGAAGGATGGTTCACTCCTCTTGTGTATAGATTACAAGGAGTTGAATAAGGTTACTATTCAGAACAAGTACCCTTTACCCAGGATTGATGATCTTTTTTTATCAGTTAAAGGGAGTTACATACTTCTCTAAGATTGATCTGCATTTTGGATATCATCAATTTTGGGTTAGGGAGCAAGATGTTCCTAGGATAACGTTTCTCACTAGATATGGTTCTTATAAGTTTTGTGTTATGCCTTTCGGATTGACTATCGCACTAGCAGTCTTCATGGATTTAATGAACAGAGTCTTCAAGGCTTACTTAGATCAATTTGTCATCGTCTTTATTGATGATATTTTGATTTATTCTAAGTCGGAGGATGATCATGCTAGACATCTTCGCATAGTGTTACAAACGCTTCGTGAACACCAGTTATATTCCAAGTTCGAGAAATGTGAATTTTAGTAGTAGGAAGTGAAGTTTCTGGGTCACGTAGTGTCAGAAAGGGGAATAGCAGTAGATCCAGACAAGGTTTCAGCAGTAATAGAGTGGGGGGTAACCTATTTCACCTATCGAGATTCGGAGTTTTCTGGGATTGGCAGGATATTATCGTAGGTTCATTTAGGGGTTCTCGAAGATAGCGAGACCACTCCCTCACTTAACTAAGAAGGGTGTACAGTTCATGTAGGATGAACTTTGTCAGAAAGCTTTTGATAAGCTAAAAACTAAGTTGACTTTTTGTAATGACCCGGTCATTTTCCTTCTTTTCTTTTTTCGGTAATTTTTTTTTCGTCTTTTTCTCGTTTATCATTTCTCCTTGCATAACCTCACTTTTTGTACTCGGATTTGATTCCGGCTTTGCATACGTACATGATATTTAAATTCCATGATATCTGCATTTTTACTTTAGTAGAAAAGCATGATAAATGTTTACTTTCCTTGTAAAGGGTATGGATGCATAATTTTTTTGTAATATCCAGAATTTGTGGGGTTTTAGTGTAATTATGTAAAGTAATTATTTTTCATCTTAAGAACCATTTTATAATTTAACTTGTCAGATATTTTGAAAAATGATTTTTTTTGTAATTTTTTAAAAATATGACAAGTGTCACATTCTCATGGTGCGACTTGTTGGCATTAGGGCGGAGTGACTTGGAAGCTTGATCTCTTAACATTTGGAGGGTGGAAATTCACCCACTTGTTGGCCTAGGATAGGTGCACTTGTTGGCTTGGATGGTTGACAAGTGTGGGTGTGGGATTAAGTCTAGAAAGGAACCATGGATTTGTGACAAGTGTAGGCTCACAATTTAATCTTGCATTTGTGTGTGTATGAGAGGTAGTGTAAAAGCACATAGTGAGTGGAGGAATGCTAAATCTTCCACTCACCTCACTTTATTGTATCATCCTCACCACTTTGCTCTCAAACCCTAACCTAGCCTCCATTGAAGGAAAAGCTTGACTTAGAGCTTTGACTTCATTTTTGGTCTCCTTCCACTCACCTTAGACCATTAAGCATGGAATACAAAAGCCTTCCCTCATCTTCCTCTTCATAACCCTAGAAGGAAAACTTGAAATTCTTTTGCTTCCCTTGGATTCAAGAGGAACAATCCTCTTGTGAGGTAGGGGTGGTTGTATGTTTATCCTCTTTGGGTTTTATATGTATTGGAGCTTGATATATATTGATTACATGCTTTTTAAGTTCTTGTTTTTGCATATAAACAGAGATTTATTATACTTGGCTTATGAATTATGAATTAAAGCATGTAATGACTATTAAATGGACTAGGTAAATTATTGTTTAATGACTTGCCTAATACTTGTGATTTTATTGAGGGTCTATTATGGATTTCTTGGAGTTGGTACTTATATTGTTAAGTAATAGAAATTTCATTGAAGATTTAGTGTAAAGACCTTGTATATAGCACTTGTATTTACTTGTAGGTAAATTACTATATTGCATGATTAGTGATTGTGGCCTACATTGATAGTAAATTGCTTTAATGTAATATGTAGTATCATTAACTTGCCACTTTAGACATGTAACCATAAGACATGGTTTGTGTGGTTTTACCCTACTTGTGCTTGGTAGGTAGTTTCATGCATTGAGATTATATAAATGTCATGGACTTGTTGATTTTTGAAAGCTTGTAAGGATATGAAATGTTGATGGCTAGGGTTTGGCTCTAGTACAGAGGATAAGAATTCTCCTAAGTCATAGTGCGCACTAGGTAGTACCTTGTGGGTCGTAATTATCCAAAATAACTTGTATGGTCTTGTGATCACATATCCTAGTCTTCCCATTATTTGATTTTGTATTATTTTTCCAAGTTGTAAATCATAGATTTCTTGTAGCTTGTGATTTGGTGATTTTAGTTTCAATGCGGTTAGTGTACTTGTTCATGTATACTTGGATGCTATGTGGTTATCATTTCAAATATTTGTATAGCTTGAGATGATCCCTTAGAGTACCTTGAAAACATAAACGTTAGGTGGAATACACCCTTGTGATGATCTATATTTGGTTCACATTATACTTGAAACTATAAAGTATGCGCATGCACCACATCCTACGAGTAACTTGATTACTCACCCTAGTTGTTTGGGTTATGTTGCAGGTAAAGAGGCTTTATTTTGGGATGCATCACATCCCTAAGTTGCTTTGATGCCTTGAAGTATTTTGTTGTAGTTTTGAAAACATGTAGGTGTTAGCATGTAGTATCATTTTGGTGAAAAATGTTATTTTTGCCTTGAAATATGTAATGTGTACCTAAGTACACTTTTTGATACTTGTTTTGTATGTACAACATGAGGCCAAGGGCCATTAACTTGATGTTCACAAGCATGTTCTAAAAGTTCAAGTATTACAAATATAGTCTATGGTGAAAATTAGAGGTTTGACATGTCAAAATTTGTAAACGGATTGTAATGAGGCTCTAAACCATTGCAACATAGTTCAATATAAGTTTCATGTTTGTTGACATGTTCACATGCTTAATTTCCTTAAAAAGAATCAGTTTTGACCTATGCATGTGGGTAGAATGAATTCTATAGGTCCAATTATAAATCTCCCATGTTTAGTAAAGCTTCTAACAGGTTTCGAGGTGTTTCGGTTGACCGAAATACCTTTTTGGTTTGTAAAAATGCACATTCTAATGGCCAAAAACAACTTTCAAAGCCATTTCGGTCGACCGATTGCTTATTTCGGTAGACTGATGTAACCAAACCTCAAAAACATGATTTTAGAAAAAAAAATTTGTGGGTTTCGGTCTACTGAAACTCTATTTCAGTCAACCAAAATAGCCCTCATACCCCAGTCTTCCAGATTTAGTTTCAGTACTGATGTTCCAACTTCAAAAGGCCATAACTCCCTCGTTTCTAATTCAAATAGGGTGATTCTTTAGCCTAAACTCAAGGATTTTGAGTCATATTTCCAATGGGACCCATTCCATTCTCATATTCAAATCACAGTGGGAGTTATTAATGTTTTAGTGGGACAGTGTCAGTTTTCGCTTAAATCGAGAAAGGGCGTTTTGTGAAATTTTTGTCCAAAGTTCTTAGATCCTCTTGGAATTTTGTGAAATGATTTGATTAGGTTGTATTCACCTTGTTTAACTTGTTTAGAGTCAATCTCCCCTTTTAAATTGTAAATTGGCCATTTTGCCCTTAATTAACGAAATTTGCTCCTTTTTTACTCCCGTTTGCTCTTTCGCTTTCTTAAGGTTTCGTGACTTCATGGAAGGTTACATTGGTGTCTTAGGGATGATTTATATCCATAGAGACCTTATTTTATCATTTTTTTCTACATTTCGAATCCGTTATCGGGTTAACCTTCGGGAATTCACTATGCACCGGGTTGAAAATCATGGGTCACGACACTTTTGCACCGGTTCTGTCTACTTCAC